AAAAAAAAAAAAAAAAAGAGTGAAACCCTATGCCACCATCTCAAAATCCAGAAAATTATAACACATTTGTCTATGATCTCATAGCACATTTTTCATTTTTATTACAGCATTTATTATTAATAACGTTAAATTGTAGCAAACCATTTCTATGCTTGTCTCTTTGGCTAAATTTTTGTGCCTTGTGATCAAGAATACGCCATTAATTTTCAATATCCAGTAACAAGCACAGTGATCACCACAAAGTAAATTAACATACTATCCTCAGTTAGAAACCTTCACGTAATCTCCAAACTTCCTACTCTCACCAAACCAGGTTCTCATTCCTGTCACCTGGACCACTGCAATGTCCCCAACAGGTTCCCTTGATACCATACTGTCCTATATTCAAACTATGCTCCTGAGTGCCACTAGAACCAAATGTTTGGCGGCGCCTGTGGCTCAAAGGAGTAGGGCGCCAGCCCCATAGGCCAGAGGTGGCGGGTTCAAACCCAGCTCCGGCCAAAAACTGAAAAAAAAAAAAAGTAATTCAAAGAAACAAAAATTCTCATCTGCTTTAAATCCTCCATTCCTCTCCTCTACCTCCAGAACAGGCTAATGTTCTTAGGAAAGAACATGAGATCCATCACGATTACGATTTAGCCTTAGCCGAACTTTATAGCTCTATCTCCTTCTAGTCTTTTTTATACTCGAAGCGTCTTGAATATTACAATTTTCATCATTGCCCAGACAAAAAGACACGAACACACACCGAAGCACTTCTCTCACATTCACGTTTCCAGTTCCTTTTTCCAGCTAGTGATTTACGTCATTTAAGCCCAAATCAACTAAGACTAATATATGACGACTCCTGTCTCCCCCACAGCATGTTGCTCTCTGAGCATCGCGAGATGGTGCCTGACTCACCTGTGTTCCTGCACGGAGCACAGAGACCCACTCACAGCAGGAGAAACTCAGGGAACATAACTGAAACCAGATCGCAGGTGGCCTGAAGATCCTTCCAGCTCAGCGCACAGGTTTTCGCGCGCTAAGCCTGCCAAGGGCCAAGGCCCTGTTGGCCAAGTGGTTGTCGCACCAGTTTAGCAACTCTGGGGCCGCACCCAGCAGCTCTCCTCCCGCTTCTCTTCCTCAGGCCTTCCCTAATGCCCAATCACCTTCCCATTCACTTACCGTCTCAGAAAACTAGAGTTGAGGCTTCCGCGGCAGCGGCGGCCCAGGCCGGAAGATGGACTTAGCCTGGGAGGAAACACATCCGGTGTCAACCAGCTTTATTCTTAAATGAGGCTATCTGGGCGCCCCGGAAGAACATCCTGAGACGGTCTCCCTTCCTTATTTCCCCGGTACCTGGAATGACAGAAAGGCGCCCAAGTACTGGCAAGTCCCATCTCTCCTGTCCCAGTCTCGATACTAGCCATTTCCCTTCGTCAGCCATCCTAAACGTCCGAATTGAAGCCGGTTGTGAAGTTGGGTTACGGTACATCTGTCCGAATACCCAGCGCCGGGACCATAGAAAAGCCGAAAGCCTGGGAATTAGTAGGGGACGGGTCCTCTTTATTGGCACCACCCACAACTTTGAAAAGTGGCAGAGGAAGAGACCACAAGGATTTGTATTCGAGATTACCTACCTAGTGTCCCATTAGGATCTGGCCCCCATCCCTGGATCTAGCTTCACTCCTTAATCCGCTCCACCTCATCAAAACTTTGGCCCAGGTATATACTCTGACGTGCCCTAATCTTCTTCCCGCTATCTTTTAAAAACACGTTATTACTGAAGCCACCCTGAACTGCTGCTTACATTAGTTGGTTCCTGTAATTATTTGGGAACCTGTAATCTATTTGCCTGCCTTCATTGTTGCATTTATCATACCTGCATTGAAATTATTTGTGTCCCACCTAGGCCGAAGTATTTAGGACTGCAGCTTACTGATCTTTGCATTCCTGAGTACTGTATTTTACATAATGGAGAGACATCTGAATCAATTTTTAAAAGGCACTGCTCTACTGCCTCAGTAAACGGGTTCTCCTGTAAGTAAATGACTCTAAAAACAACTAATTTCTGGTTAATCCATGTTTTCCTTTAAAGGCAACCACTTCATATGATTAATACGTATTTTAAAGAACAGAAGCGAAGAAGGCATTTCTGCGTTCAAATTCAAGCAATTGAAAAAGGAAAGCAGGAGGAGAGTGAGAAAATAAACCACTGACAGCCAACTTAAATTGTCATACTTTTATTAAGGAAACTTCCCCATAATAAGTGAAGAGGTAGTTCATAGTATGTCTAACATACAACAGATTTAGTACAGCTATTCATGAGCTGAAATAAAATGTTCTGGCTTGCTTAGGACAATATGTTAAACAGTGACACTTGTCACCTTCCATTTATAGATCTTCGAATAAAGAAAATAAAACAAAATCACATCTGATTTATCTCAGAGCCACTTTAGTTTGGAGTTTGTCTTTAAAATTAAATAATAAATAAATAACTGTAACGGTAATTTTTTTCAAAAACCAAACTATGGGAAAGAGAGTCCTTTTTTCTTTTAGTTATCCTGGGGATGCATAAAATACAAATGCTAAATGCTTAAAGTTTTAGGAATCTTCCTGCTCTACAGAAATATGACTAGTTTTGAAATAAATCTTCCTCTCTAAAATGTATTTGTTATCAGTAACTTGACTTCTTTGCAATATAAACTTAACAAACATGTATAAGTAAAGCAGAAAAGTCAAGTCTCAACAAAATTAGAAAATGTCTCACAGAAACAGAACACTTCTCCAGCCAAGAAATGGAGGAGACTGTAAATCACTTCAGTGGTTTGCATTTGCAAAAGATGAGAACTAAAAGTTTTACTGATACAAACCCATAAAGATGCTGACTTTGCGTGATCAAAGAAAGCAAGGCAATTTTCTTTATTATTCCTAGCATAGAAACAATTGAGACCTTGTTTTACTTAGACCACATGACACTATAAACTCCATGAGGGCAGGGACTCTATCGATCTTACCTTTATATCCTCAGTATCTAATACAGTGTTTGGCAACAGTAGGTCCTTAATAGTGTTCCTTGAATAACTGAATGAACCCAGAAACAGTCTCCAACCAAAGAGACCAATCTTATTTGAATCCATGCCTTTTAGTCTTCAAACCAGTAATAAAAACAGGACATGAATATGAGCAAAAGAAGCAATCCAACTTGAAATTTTCCTGTAAAAAAATGATGTTCAGAGAAAATACCAAAAACATTGATTGGTTGACAGGGTAGTTTCACTGTTGCATAGAATGGTACTCTTTGGCTGGATCATACAAAGATCACAATGCTAAAAGCATCAATAGACCATACAATGAGCAAAATGTTAGGAATAAGGATGATGATACATGTAAATGTATCAAATTACAACAATTTAAAAATTCCCCCAACTATACAAGTTAAGCCTAATTTTTGGATTATCTGTACAAGCACTCTCATAGCTCAAAATAAAAATAGAAAATCCTGATGGTAACTAATAAACACTGTTTTCCACACAAAATCTATTTCACACTTGGTTCTTTCTCACATTATTCTTACTTATCCTTTCCCTCCCTAACCAATACCTAGCAATTCAGTCACTTGCTTAGGAATAATGTAATACTCATCTAACTAAAAATTAATTAACTAACATAAATCCATCTGTGATATTTCGTTGGCACAATCCAGGCTGTCTCAGAAAGCCAACAGGAAAACATAAAGGCAAAACACAGACTGGGAACTTTTTGCTAATGTGTTATTCTTCATCATGTACGAAATCTTTTCAAATCAAGGGGTGGGGGAAGAAGAAGAAGAAATTAGCTCATATTTAGCCACTTATCTACCTTTGGCCAGTCTTGGCCACCTCTTTGGGTTTTGGATACCCCAATTTAAACAGTGGAATAAATGTTCTCTTAAGATTCTCTAAGGACTCTAATACTATTATCTAAATCTAACTCATGGGTCAGAAACAAATAAGACTCAAAATTTTACGTCTAAAGTACAACATGTGCTTGAGGAAAAAGTTTTGTTTACCTATATTGGAAAATCAATTTTGTATTAGCAATCTATCAAAGGTGGTAAGGTGGGACAGTGTACCTTTCAGAGGAATATCTGATTCCAAAATTCTGATTGCCCTTTCTGTGTCCCACTTCATTTTTTCATCCCATTTTAGAAATTAAGGTACACGAGGAAATGAAAACTCAAGAGACTCTTATAATGTGCTGAACAAAACTGATGGCCAAACTCACCTTTCTTATAGCTCAAGTCTCAAACAAAATTCATAGACTCCCATATAGTCTCTTTTCAGAGACAACAATGCTTTAGCATATCTTAAGTGTGCCTGGAGCAATCTTGATTTCAAAAGGATCAAGAAGTTAAACATTAATTATAAGCATCTGACCTCTTGGTAGGATACAAGGGAACTTTCCCAAACAAGTGCCATTGCATAATTATACTTCTATCCTTTGCTGATTATGTTCCTCATGATGCTTCCTCACCATTTGCCTGCAGGTGTTACTTAAAAGATGTACTCTGGTCTATGTGAAAACTTCAGTGAAAATGAAGTTGGGCTAGGATACTGGTGAACAGAGTACAGAACAAACCAACATGCTTATTTATAGCCAGCTCCAAGACAAGTACAAATGGTAAGAAGCAGATTCAATCATTTATCAGACACAGAGGAATTATCAATAGGCAACCAGAAGTTCTATCACATTTTTAGGTCAACAGCAACATCACCTTATATCTCAGTCTATTTTCTACCAAAGAAAAATATTACTCATTTTTCTCAGCATAGTATCTATTAGTGGAGAGTAGGTGAAGTTATTAACTTGCTGATACCTTCAAAGTGTGCCTACAGAATGGCCTAAAATAGTGTCAGTCTAAGATATAAGTTGGTATTAGGTAGACAAATGGAATTATTTCTTGGGAAAGGAAAACAGACATCATAGGATAAATAATTCAAAACAGAAAATGGAAGAGGCCAAAAAGAAGGCAAAACCACTCCAAATGGTAAGTTGCCTGGTCTCCTAGTGCTTTGACTCATCCCCTACCACCTGCACAGAGGCTTTGGAGAAGTCAAACTAGCAAATTCACTCCTACAAAGACTGAGACTATTGCCATACTCTCAGTCAGTTCAAGTTGTGAGCATGAAGCCCCTATTCAATTCACACAAGTACTATCATTCCTTAAGTTCAGGACAGCTTGGGCCAGTTTACCTGCATCCAGGACCTGTGTTGCATCAGGTTGTGGCTGACACCCTTTAGAGTCTGTGACTGTTGTACATGCAAAAGAATCAAAATCCACTGTGAGGTCTTGTACATTCCTCTCATTGGCATTATCAAAGCTGTTTTTGCCATGCAGCTGTTTAAGGTGTTTCCTCAAAACTGGTTTATGTGCAAACACCATATCACAATAGTTACACTTATGGGGCTTATCTCCACTGTGAAGGTTAAGATGATCCTGTAAGGAACACTTCTGAGAAAAGGTTTTCCCACAGATTTTACACTGGAAAGGTTTAATTCCGGCATGCACACGCATATGTCGATGAAGGTTGCCTTTCTGAGTAAAAGTCTTGCCGCAGAGTAGACACATAAAGAGTTTGTGCATTTTTAAATGGTTGGCGTAGTTCTCCAGGTGACGAAACACCCTGGTACACTTTGGGCATTGGTGATGCCACTGTAGACCTTTGTCTACACCTCGAATACTAGGCCCAAAGACATCTTTTGAGGCCATGATGATGTTATCACTGCCTGTATAAGAGAGGGCATAATTGTGGAGATGGTTTTGTTCTATTTCACTTACTCTGTTTTCCACAGTTGAATTTATCAGGGAGTGCTGGGGCTCTGATGAATGTAAAGCAGTGGGTTCAGAAGAAATAAACTGGTTCTGATCTTTTTTACTTCTAACCTCTGATACATCCCCAATAGACTCTACCTTAACAATCTGAATATCACTGTCCTCCATATCCATACTGTCTTCAGATGGATGAATACAAGGTGAGTCCTGCTTTGGAGAGCCTCTGGCATCTCCCTGCTGTTCTTTGGACTGGGGAGAAGCACTCTGTGGTTCACATCCCTCTTTACTATCCATTGGTTGTTTTGGCTTTATAAACTTCCACAGGGCCTGCGTGCACCGTTCTACAATGTGGCTCATCTGAAGAAAACTTGCAGCAGTCAAGTAATTTACCAGTTCCATCTCGGGGAATTCCAGCACACCACTATAACAGGATAAGAGCAATTGTCTGCCCACTT